GGGGGGGGGGGGGAGGAGGAGGAGGACAAAGAAGAAGACTGAAGGATACGAAATGAGAAGAGAGGCGTGGCGGTGGGCGGTAAGGGAGACTGAACGGAGGATTAGTGACGGCGAGGGGAGAAGGATGAGAATGGCGCGAGGAAGAGAGGGAAGAGAGAAAGGAATGGATGGAGGCCAAAAATGATGGAGATTTTAGGGGAGTAAAAGCGGCACGTTTACGCTCTGCATTCCGCCTTCTTCCCTGTTCGCATCATCGGCTTTTTCTTCCTTAATCCTTGCTACCGCGCGACGATCGTGGCAATGGTGATAGTAGTGGTGGTGGTGGTGGTGGTGGTGGTGATGGTGGTGGTGGTGATGGTGGTGGTGGTGGTGATGGTGGTGGCGGCGGTGGTAGTAGCAGTGGTGGTGGTGGTGGGTGGTATGTCTTACCGCAACCTCGCCTCTATCTCCGCTCATCCTTGTTCCTCCGCCGACGAAGCGACCAATCCCCACTCCACACCCCTCTCTTAACGGGTTCTTCCCATACCACCCTTGGCGGATCAATGATGATTCTAGCACCCTCCGTTGTGTGGCGCTAACGTCGCCTAAGCACCGCTCAGTCCGAACTCAGGGTTCACTCAGTCCACGAACGTTTGCCACGAGACTTCGATCTCTCACACCGCATCGCACACGCTATCTCTGTCTCTCTTTCTCTCTCTTTATTCACCCGCCTTGTATCTCTTTCTCTCTCTGTCTTTTTCTCCACTTTTTTCCTTTTTTCCCGCTTGGCGGACGGAGAACCAAACTGGTGACCGGGGAGGCGCGCGTAGTAACCGTGCATCGGTCTACGTCAACGGAAGTCTTGCCGTAGTACCCTCGTGCTTTCGGTTACTTCGACCCATATAACCGTCGTGCTGCGACCCCCGTTCGTCCGCTTCGACCGGCTGCGGATCTACCTGCGGCGCAGCGAGGTGAGTGGGCGACCTATCGCACGTCTACCTTTACGTCGGTCTCTCTATCACCGAACGCGAACCTCAAATTTGCCTGCCAAATTCGCGCAAATTTTCAGACACGTCTGAAGTTATGCAAAAGTTTCGAATACTTTTTACGGCAAGTTTGTTTTCTCAATTTTATTCCTTTTATACTGGAAAAATTTTCTTTTCCTTCTACAAATAACTAAAATTCTGAGATTTACATGTTGCATTTCATTAAAATAGCTGGAAGTTTTTTTCCAATATAATAGAAAATTAAAATCACTCCGTATACTTGAAACAGCTCCGTATACTTGTGACAGCTTACTTTTATTTAGATTTATTAAGATTTTGCACAGAAATGTAGACAATAAAATTCATTTTATATATATATATATATATA